TCTCACTGTATGAATTACTTTTTTTTTTTTTTTTTGGATGAATGAATAAATGCTTTTTTTAATATAAATATACTTTTATTTTTATTTAGTTTAATTTACAAGATTACAATGTAGATAAAGGATAAATGAATAAATATTGATTTTCATGTCTATAGGTGCTTCTCCCAGCCTAAGTCCTGTCAGCTCCCCGAGTCACAGTCCCCCTGCTGCTCCCGGATCCTCTCTGGTCACACGCTCTCCAGTGGAGTTCCCCGACACCGCCGATTTTCTTACCAAGCCCAGCGTAAACCTGCACAAACCACTGGGCTACACGCTAAGCTCACCTGATTTCCAGCAACAGTATCGAGGTCTTGCCTCAGCCCCCTTGTGCACCAGGTACTGTAACTTCTAGAACCCTTCTCCTCTTCTCCCAATTAGGTTGTACCTTATGAAAGGTTGTACCTTATTGTTTTTATTTCTTTTTGTAGTTGTGGCCGACAGATGCTGAAAGGTGTGGCCAGCATAGAGGTGGGTGAGGGCCATCACACAACAGCCAATGAGATGCAAAGAACACGCTCAGGTAAAGTTAATAAGCTATGACACTAACCCCATTTATCACGACAGAGTCATTCCTGAGTATATCCTTTGGTTTATCACTCAAAATGATGCTTTTGCTCACTTTCTTAGCTGAAGGAGCAGAGTATGGTGGGGAAAACTTGATCCGAGAGGAGAGCTTGGAGGCAGAGTCTCAGGAGGAGAGGACTCCAGACACAGTGGGTGAAAAACTAAATAGCCAGCCTGAGGAAGAGGAACAGACCTCCAGTACAGAGCAGTCCTCATTGGATCCTGAGGTAGAGCACGCACACTTTATCCCCGCATGGTTTCATTATATTAATGTCTAAAACATTGCCTCAGGAACTGAAATTGAGATCCAGTGTTGCTTTTGGATGAGTAATTTTAATGTATGAACTGCTGTTTCGCCTTAGAAAGCCCCACAAGAGAAGAGCTTTTCTTTCACGTAACCTTAAATGCCCTCGCCTTGATTCCACTGCTCTCCTACTCCTTTTATGGGCCAATCTGGCAGTTGTTAAAGTGGCCAGCTGTTGAACAAGCCGAGTGGAGTTTAGAAGCAGAGTGCTTATTTGCATTCCCATGCTTTTGCATTATTATGTGGTTGCTGGATTTATAGCTGTGGCTCTTGAGTGGATCTCTCTGCAAACCCTCAGTTTATTGTTCTGCCCAAAGGGGTCCACAGTAAGAGTGTGTGAGGACAACATAAATTTAGCTGACTTAGTAAAATGCTTTCGTTGTTATCTCTGGAAAAGACGCCAAGCATGAATTTTTCTGTCAAACTAAGCAAAACCTTCTACCGTCTGTCTGTTGACTGTGATTGATCACTGGCAGGGAGACGAGGAGCTCAGGTTGGACTCTATGCTGGTGGACCATGAAGCACTCATGGAAAAGATCAACACCTGGAACTTCCAGATCTTTGAGCTGATGGATATGACAGGAGGAAAGACTGGCAGTATTCTCAGCTATGTTAGTGCTTTGTACTAAGTATTAAGCCCATTATTAAAGGGGTCATATGATGCTGCTAAAAAGAACATTATTTTGTGTATTTGGTGTAATGAAATGTGTTTATGCGGTTTAAGGTTCAAAAAACATTATTTTCCACATACTGTACATTATTGTTTCTCCTCTATGCCCCGCCTTCTGAAACACGTCGATTTTTACAAAGCTCATCGGTCTGAAAAAGCGAGGTGTGCTGTGATTGGCCAGCTATCCAGTGCGTTGTGATTGGCCGAATACCTCAAGCGTGTGACGGAAATGTTACGCCCCTTACCATATTGTGATGATGCCCTGTCAGGCCGGAGCGATGATTCAAAAACATGAAAACCCATTATAAACGAGGCATTGGTTGCATCCAGTGGGGACATAATTATGGATTATAATGACTTATACTGTCTTTTTACGCGTTGCATTGCATCGCATGTTTATTTAAACATAAAACCATGTCTGCATTTATGATCGGAGAAATTACAAACAACAAGCCCTACTCTACACTGCCCAAAAAACTCGCTT